CGTTATGTATGCCACAAGTTTTCCCCCATATTCGTAACAACTCACTCCAAAACCGAGTTGCTAGAGTAGAGGGCCAGTGACCTCTTTATCCCAGTGACTCGTTACTCGTAAACCTGGTGGTTTAGAGGCGGACGATGAAAAACCACAGGCAGTATCCACGGGAAAACGGTTAAAAGATTGCCAGGACGTGGGATGAGATATGCCCGAACCCACCCAACACAGGGGGACTGGGAGAAAAATGATTTTTTTTTTCATCTCATCGCTGTACCGAGAGGAAAAAAAATTCAATGAGTAGAAGTTGTTTGAATCGACAGGATTATTTCCTTGTGAATATAACGACAGGAATTGTTCCATTTGAAAATACAAAATTTTCTAAGATGAATAAGATCATCCAATGAATTATGTTTACCCCCTAGTAGAAATCAAATATCCGAGCGCCGTCACCCGGACTTTCCAGGGGCGACTCTAGTATAGCACACACGGAGAGAAATGTTCAGTAAAAATTACGGTACTAACAATTCGCTCACCGATTACGGAATCGACTCAAAAAATTTAAGTGACGGTATCGTAATTTTTCACAGAAGATTCAGTTCCGTAAAATTTTCTACAACCACATTTCGCTCCGGAATTACGGAAAAGATACGTAATTTTTATTGAATATTTCTCTCCGTGTACGCGCGCAATATACGAGATCAAATGTCCGGGCGCACGCGCCGGTCAGAATTTCTACTAGCGCCTGAATTCGCTGTTAATTTTCGTGGCACATTTGAAGTGTAATCTACACTGTTAGAAATTTCTTGAAATTTCAGTCACAGCTTCATCCGAATTCTCAATGTTGTAAGTTTGAATTTAATTTCAAAATAAAAATGTTCATAAAATTTCTCATCTTGAAAAGTCACGAAAATTGGGTTTTTCATGTTAAGCGCTCATTGATGTTCCAATGAAAGCTTGAATTTTCAAACTCATTATGAAAATTAAACATCAAATGTAACAGAATTTTTAAGAAATTGAGAATTCAGGAAAGTTTTTACCTGAATTTTCCCAATTTTCAATATTTTTCAGTGCCGCATGGATCTGGAAATCGAGAATTATTTAAATATTCAAGAAATTAACTGATTCCTCAGTGAAGAAATACACAGACATTTCACGTAATTTTGTTATTGTTTCAAATTGTAAGCTTTTTCACTTAAAATTTCAAGAGTAATTATCTACAGTTAGAAATTTTTTGAAATTTAAGTCACAAATGCATTTGAATTTTCAATATTCTGAACTTGAATTTAATTTCAGACTAAATTGCTCATGGAATTACTGATCCATCTTGGAAATTCAATAAAATTAAGTTTTTCATTATGAATGATTATTGAATTTTGAAACCTATCGCGAAAATTAAGCAACAGATTGAAAATTCAGAAGAAAAGTTGCCTGAGTTTTCATGATTTTCAGTAATTTTCATTGTCGTATGAACCTGAGAAATGAAATTCGGGGAATATTCAAGAACATTGACTGATTTATCAATAACAAGATCAATGGAATTCCGTGTAAATTATTCGTTGTTAAAAATTTCAAGATTTTTTACTTGAAATTTCAAGAGTAATTTCTGACAGTGTAACAGTGAATACTTTTCATTGCTATTCATTAAATTGTGAATTCGCAATGACGAAATTTCTTGAAACTTCGATAAAACTGTCATCTGATACCAAAAAATTTTGAACAGTGCAAAAATAATATAATCAGTGGAATGGAAAGAAGGAGGCTAGCGNCGCGCAATATACGAGATCAAATGTCCGGGCGCACGCGCCGGTCAGAATTTCTACTAGCGCCTGAATTCGCTGTTAATTTTCGTGGCACATTTGAAGTGTAATCTACACTGTTAGAAATTTCTTGAAATTTCAGTCACAGCTTCATCCGAATTCTCAATGTTGTAAGTTTGAATTTAATTTCAAAATAAAAATGTTCATAAAATTTCTCATCTTGAAAAGTCACGAAAATTGGGTTTTTCATGTTAAGCGCTCATTGATGTTCCAATGAAAGCTTGAATTTTCAAACTCATTATGAAAATTAAACATCAAATGTAACAGAATTTTTAAGAAATTGAGAATTCAGGAAAGTTTTTACCTGAATTTTCCCAATTTTCAATATTTTTCAGTGCCGCATGGATCTGGAAATCGAGAATTATTTAAATATTCAAGAAATTAACTGATTCCTCAGTGAAGAAATACACAGACATTTCACGTAATTTTGTTATTGTTTCAAATTGTAAGCTTTTTCACTTAAAATTTCAAGAGTAATTATCTACAGTTAGAAATTTTTTGAAATTTAAGTCACAAATGCATTTGAATTTTCAATATTCTGAACTTGAATTTAATTTCAGACTAAATTGCTCATGGAATTACTGATCCATCTTGGAAATTCAATAAAATTAAGTTTTTCATTATGAATGATTATTGAATTTTGAAACCTATCGCGAAAATTAAGCAACAGATTGAAAATTCAGAAGAAAAGTTGCCTGAGTTTTCATGATTTTCAGTAATTTTCATTGTCGTATGAACCTGAGAAATGAAATTCGGGGAATATTCAAGAACATTGACTGATTTATCAATAACAAGATCAATGGAATTCCGTGTAAATTATTCGTTGTTAAAAATTTCAAGATTTTTTACTTGAAATTTCAAGAGTAATTTCTGACAGTGTAACAGTGAATACTTTTCATTGCTATTCATTAAATTGTGAATTCGCAATGACGAAATTTCTTGAAACTTCGATAAAACTGTCATCTGATACCAAAAAATTTTGAACAGTGCAAAAATAATATAATCAGTGGAATGGAAAGAAGGAGGCTAGCGGAGTGATGCTAAACAGACTGAAAAACAAAATAAAATCTGTTATACACTGGAAAATGTGAAACAAAGGGGGAATAGTACACGGGAATACAGAGAGAGGTTGGCATTGCGCTGCAGTTTGATAGAGACACCGTCGACTATGCTCGTTTCCTCTGTATCTGAACCGGATGTCACCCCGACGGGAACTCGTTAACACCGATGTATCCACAATGTTGCGCCCCGTGGGTGGGTTATTTAGTCGGTGTATTCGCAACCCCTCATCCCCTTCAACCCCGGGATTCTACATACACGGTGCATTGGATTTGTGCGCTCAACACTTCATTTGGAGCCGTGTACAAAGATCTAGGATGCGTAACCCAGAAAATCCAGTCGTTTGTTTATCAGCGAACGAATGGGTGAATGGAGCAAAATAGGTCGTCCACCGAGAAAAAAATCCTTATTTTGAGATTTCGAAGATTTTGAATTGAGACTTTCGGAAGTCCCAACGTCACAGAGAGAAAAGTTGGATAAAAATTACCTCGAAAATCGTGACAAATTGTAATTAATTGTAATTAAGATATTTATGGTGGGGCGGGCATGTAAAAAGTGAGACGGAGGGGGCTCTATTGGTCTCTCGCAGAAAACAAATCGCTGAACAAAAAAAAACGATATTCCAATTACAAATTTCTAATCTATTTCGACCATTTTTGTGTTCGAAATATTTTTTTAATAACTTTTATATTTTTCCCCACATATTGCAAGCCTTCTTTTATTTTTCGAGCTTGTCTTTTGGATAATTGGAAAATAATTTATATGGAAAGAAAAAGTGACAACGTCGTGCCGTTCAAGGTACAAGTTGGCAGCACTGATTCACTCAGCTGTTATTAGAGATGCAAATGCGTCACATGACCCGTCATATGGCGGTCATGTGACCGTCATTGACGGTCACATGAGGAGCCGTTCATGACGGCTGTCACAATTCTCTCTCCCCCTTTTGTGACCGTCACAACTTGTCAAGAAAAAATTACAGTCATTTTTCATCTATATAGATGAAACTTTATTTTTTTCTCGGTCAATTTTCAGTTGAATTCCTTTTGTATTCGCCTAATCCGCATTTTGAAATGGAAATCACGTTTTTTTCCATCCATATAGATAAAACTATTTTGTTTTATTCATGACCGTCACAAATTGTAAATTAGCTATGACCGTCATTATGCAACTATATAGATGGTTTGACAACAATTTGGTTACAAATGATTTGTGACAATCATTTGTAGTTAGAAAATTTGTGCGTCACGTGACCGTCACAAGACCGTCATTTTTTGGTCATATGACGCGATATAAAAAATGACGGTCATTTTGTATCATCACAACTCCATTCGTATTTACCGCGCTTACCCCTCCACGATTCATAACCTCGACGTTGTCGCTATTCCAAGTTGCGCACGCAGAATTCCTATATTTCATGAGTTCTTTAATTATCCGTTCCAAACAATTCTCCTAGGTCACTTGGATTATTTTTCTTTATTCCTCCATGAAAGCTCCACCCAAGTGTGAAATTTCAGGGAAATGGCGACTTTTTTTTTCTATTTTTAATATATATATTTTTTCGAATTCCCATAACAGCACATGTTAAAATGCATTTTTGAGAAAAATTGCTGTGTTTCACCCATGCCTCTAGGCTACCTGGAATTTTGCATAGAAGTTTTGAAAAAATCAAAGAATGTATACAAAAAAATCATCAATTTCTTGACGGTTTTTCCCCCCCCCCCCTCTGACCGCGCCATAAATACCTTAAATTAAAAAAGCCGAATTATTCTATTTTCCTCTTACCTAAATGATTTGGACAATTATGATTCGTATATTTATGTTTCATAGAATAGTATACAATTCTCTTTTGTTTGGTAGGTGATTATACTCATGCCAACCGCCTTACTTTCACCATTCGTTCCAGATATTCCCCATGCTTTTTTTAAAAAGAATTTTAAATAATTTTTACTGTCAAAAAATTATTTTTTCACGCACCTGCACGGAAAGTTCGTACTTTGCTCCCTGATGAGCGGGGAGGAAAGTGAGTACTTCCCGTCCTCGGGTGGAAAAGAAGTTCACCTTCCCAACCTCACTCAATCTAAAACCTCATCTTCACTTGACCTAATCTTCATTTCCATTTTATGATTTCAGGATCAATAGAGCCAAACCCCCAAAACGATCGGATGTGACGAGACAACGATGTGGTACTCAACCGGGAGTAAAGAATCCCGAAAAAGCGGTAGAATCTCATCAAATGTAAACAAAATAAACCTGACGGTACTCTTCTTGGCACTGAAAGTATGGACAACCACTGGACAGAGTTCAGAATGTCCCCCGAGCGAAGCTATCCCCGGCTGTCCCTGCTACAACTTCGAGGACGGCCTCTTCCTCGAGTGCGCCGGAGCGACTGAAGAGACGCTGAAGAAGACAATGATGGGTGTACTCAACGAGGGAGGTAAGGTAAAAGAGTCGTATCTCCTAAGAGTTCGACGTAAAAATCCACGTAGAGATAATGTAAAAGGCTCCCCTCACCCTACACAATCATACACACTCGTTTCTGTTGTAGGAGCCTCAACAATGGTGCAGTCGTTGAGTGTTTACGAGTTAGATAAGAGCATTGAAAAGCTGAAGGATGATGTATTCCCAGCGGGATCACAAATAAGGCATCTCCAGATATCTCACTCTTATCTAAAAGACATTAGTGACAATACATTTGTCATCCTCAAAGACAGTCTAGAATCATTGGCACTTGTGTCTAGCAGACTGAACCAGGTGCCACAGAAGTCTCTAGCTGAATTGCATAAATTGGCGGCATTAGATCTCGAGGCTAATCTCATTCAGGATCTACCGTCTTATTGCTTTTGGGGATTGAAACTAATGAAGTTAGTTCTCAAAGGTAATCAAATATCCAAGATAACGGAGCACACCTTTGCTGGATTAGAGAGTAGTCTGAGTGATCTCGATCTTGCTGAGAATAAAATTAAAACATTTCCGATGGCTGCATTGAGAAGACTAGACAACTTGGCATCATTGAGGCTCGCTTGGAATGAGATATCTGAGCTGACTAATGATGGTTACTCAGTGTTGCGTGGTCTTCTCATCCTCGATCTAAGCAGCAACAATTTCGATAAGCTAACTGAGGATTGCTTCAAGCCATGTCCCATTCTGCATACCCTGTCTCTCTATTATAATTCCATTGAAACAGTACACAAGGATGCTTTCATATCGCTGAAGGATCTCGAGTCCATTGATCTGAGTCACAATAAAATCGTCTTCCTCGATGTTGCAACATTCAAAGCCAACGAACGACTACGAACAATTGAACTCAGTCACAATCATATTCATTATATCGGCGGTGTATTTGCCCGACTTTCTGAATTGCGTGAGCTCTACTTGGCTGAGAACAATATACTGGAGATACCGGGGGAATCATTCGCCGGCAGTATAAACCTAGCTGTTGTTTATCTCCAGCAGAATGCGATAAGAAGAATCGATGGCAAAGCATTGTCAAGTCTGAATCAATTGACACAACTTCATCTCAGTAACAATTACATAGAGAATCTTCCCATCGAGTTTCTGGAATATTGCGTTAATTTATCGTCATTATCGATGGACGGTAATAAAATAAAAGAACTCAAACCAGGTACATTTGCCAAAGTGAATCAACTCCGTGAATTGAGACTGCAGGATAATCGGATAACCGAAGTGAAGAGAGGTGTTTTTTCACAATTACCTGAGTTGCTTGAATTACATCTACAGAATAATGCAATTACGAGTATGGATACAGGTGCACTCAGGACCCTAAATTCACTTCAGCACGTTAATCTTCAAGGCAACCAACTCACTGTCCTCGGTGATGTATTTCAACTGTCCTCTTCTGAATCAACAAATGCCGGTAGTTCACTCGTATCCATTCAACTTGACAGCAATGGTTTGGCAGTACTTCACAACGACTCATTGCGCGGTCAGGCATCTGTCAGAATAATGTGGCTTGGTCATAACAAGTTGACACACCTCCAGGCACCCCTATTCCGTGATCTGTTACTCGTTGAGCGTTTATATCTAACAAACAATTCTATATCTTACATTGAAGACGCGGCATTTCAACCTATGCAAGCACTCAAGTTTCTAGAACTCAGTATGAACAGACTCAGTCACGTCAGTACGAAAACTTTTGCCGAGTTACACGAACTGGAGGAGCTTTATCTACAAGACAATGGACTGAGGAATCTCGAGCCTTATGCCTTAACAGCACTCAAGAAACTCCGGGTGTTGGACCTGTCCAACAACAATCTCACAGTACTAGAGGAGAGTATGTTCCAAGACAATTTACCGATTAAGATCTTGAATCTTAAGAATTGCTCCATCACCAGCATTCAAGTCAACACGTTTCGCGGTTTGTACAATCTGCATGATTTGAACCTTGAGGATAATCGATTAACTGCGGTTGCCCTCACAAGACTTACGGTACCAAGTCTACGTGTGCTAATAGCATCTGGTAACAACTTTAGCCACATCTCAGAGCAGAGCTTCCATGGATTGGCGGCGTTACAAGAGCTCATCCTGGACAATGTCCAGTTGGCACAGTTAACAGAGAGGACATTTTTACGTAACACAAATTTAACGCGTTTGCACTTGAATCGTAATCGCCTGAGAAACTTACCACCCGGAATATTTGAAAAATTGGTGAATCTTCGTGAATTACGGCTTGATAAGAATCAATTTATAGCTATACCGTATTCAGCCCTCACTCACGTGTTAAATCTTGAGATTCTCACACTAGCTCACAATGCCATTGTGACTGTAGACGTTGCGAGTCTAGCTCGTTTGAATTATCTACGTGAACTCGACCTCAGTCACAATCGAATTGAATCCATGTCTGGTTTTGCCATGGCCAATCTATCCCGTCTACTATCAGTTGACCTCAGCAACAATCATCTCAGTGGCCTACCAGCCAATTTCTTCGACCATTCCGGTATGCTACGGCGTGTTGACCTGTCGGAGAATAAATTCAGTCAGATACCAGCGGTCGCCCTCTCTGGTCAAAATTTACCTGGTCTGACCTGGCTCAACTTGACCCGGAATCCACTTCACCGTATTCACGAACAACCAGCTGAGGTTACGTACCCACTACTTCAGGAAATTCACATATCCGGAACCAATCTCAGTATCGTAACATCACAAGAGTTTGAAGCGTTTCCCGCACTACTACATCTCTATCTCGTGCGAAATTGTATTGGTAGAGTTTCACCCGGTGCATTCAGGAGTTTACCGAATTTATTGACACTCCATCTTGGAATGAACAGTTTAGAATTACTACCCAAAGAGAGATTGCAAGGAATGGAACACCTCAGAATACTCAATCTCACGCACAATCGATTGAAGGAATTGGAAGAATTTCCCGCTGATCTTAAATCCTTACAAATACTTGATCTATCGTACAACCAGATAGGAATGGTTGGCAAGGTCACCTTCATGAATCTCGTGAGCCTCGTTGAACTGCATCTATATGGTAATTGGATAAATGCCATCTCGAACGAAGCATTTCGTCCCCTCAAGAAACTTCGTCTTTTGGATCTCAGCAGAAACTACTTGGAGAATCTTCCGTTGAATGCATTTCGACCCCTGGAAACACAAATTCGGAGTCTACGTGCCGAAGGTGAGAGAAAATACATCCAATCTACCAGCATTGTCTGTATACTGTGGAAAAGCTGGAAGATAAACTCATTTTTGATCCTTTCTTATATAAATTTCTGTAATCCTATTTCATTTTTCTTTGGCTATTTCTGCACCACCATTCTTTCTCAGTATACTACTATTTGCAGGAGAAGGAAAAATCGGGAAAATGGGAGGGAAAAAAATTGTCGATACGTACAGTCATGCACACACAGACGTCTTAGTCCAATTCGCGCGGAGTGCACACCAAATCGAATCTCATTCGTGTTGTATAGCGCATTGTGCTCCCCCTCAACCCAAATCAATATCACCTTTTGTGACAATTTAATTCTGGAGATCAACAATTACATCCTTCTGCGACTAATCCCGTTTAGAGTTTCTACTGCAGGAGCGATGGAAACAATTTTCAGATGTCCATTCGAATGAATGTTCATTTTTTTATAATATGGGATTCTATTATAGATCGAGTGCTGGGGATATGAAGTGATGGTAGTGTCGGTTGACTTTTATGGGCATTGCAGTGGGGTTAGATGGGGTTTAAGTGGAGGGAGAGAGAATTCGCTGCATGAGGGTCAAATTTAATACCCGATATGGCGCTGATAAGGGTCAAATTCTTATTTGAGTGTTTACAAGCGGCCATTACAGATAAAACAAGGGGGAAATTGCTATTATATAAATATCCTATAGGTTTTTTTGGTAATAGAGGAGGGTAGGGCGAAACGGACCGCCGGGCAAAACGAACCCCTAGGGCAAAACGGACCACTGGCTGAAAATTGGTGATTTTTGTTTTTTTTTCTTTCCTTCAAATCAGGAACACCGAATGTGTTGAATTAGAAGTGAGTTTCAGAATCATGACCATCACAGGGATTTTATAGGTAAGTATCGTTGAACCGCAATTTGCTCAGATTTGCTAATCACCTCAAACCACTAATGATTTTGAATTTTTATTTTTGCTTCCATTCAGAACCAAAAACTATTAAAAATATCAAAAAACTATCAATTGTCTGTCAGTGGTCCGTTTTGCCCTACCCTTCCCTAATTAAAGAAAAAGTTTATCACATACATACATACAAAATAAAAATAGTAGACTATTTGGATCATAACAGGTAGATAAACCACAAAGAAAACCGAAACTTAAATTTCAACGATCACAATGCTTCCATCGGAAACCAAAAAAGTTTTGCTTTCAAATGGATTTTCAGGAATTGATCCTCGTGATGCCACGAGACATTTCACGAGACACCACGAGACAAAACTTTGGAGAAATGATCTCGGTCTCAATGAACATCGATATGTTTGCTCTCGGCTCAGTCTCAAAATAAGCAATATTGACTCCTCTCGTGGTGACTCCGAGTCAATTTATCTCATCTCGGTTTTCGATTTTTCGCATTTTTTATATGTAGAAAACCGAGACGAGACAAACCGAGACAAAAACCGAGATTTTACATTAAAAAACATGAAAAACTTGAGACCCAGATAAGATGAATTGACTCGGATTCATCACGAGAAGAGTTCATACTGCATATTTCGAGACTAAGACGAGAACAATGATTTCCATGTTCATTGAGACTGAGATCATCTCTCCAAAATTTTGTCTCGTAAAGTGTCTTGCGGCATTACTAATTGATCCCCAATTACTATTGTTAACCCTAATTATTATTCAACCTATTGCCAAAAAAATTAATTTGCGAGGGAATAAAAAGAGCCGCGACCTCTCACTTTTAATAACACATTTTCATTCATCCTGCCATCCATCTTTTTTTACAGAAAATCCACTGCACTGCGGGTGTGAATCCCAGGAGCTGTGGGAGTGGCTGCGAGATCATCAGAAATTAGTTGGCGGTGTAGACCGAGGACGTGGTAGGGGACCGAATGGAGTAGGCAACGTGGATAACGTTGAGGGTGGATTGCTGAGATGCGAGCAACCACCTGAACTCCGTGGCCTCGTTTTTCTCGATCTTGATCCACACCACTTCTGCTCATCCCCTCTCGTACTGAAGCTCGCCATTCAGGATATTCAGCCGTTCTCAGTTCTTGTCTCATGGCAGAGTAGAAATCACTCGGGCCTACACGGCTACCAAGTTGCATATCATGCACTCGATAACGTTAACGAGGTTGGTTCTATCATTTTTGCTTAAACCATAAGAACTTTATCCTTTTTTATGGCACGCTGCGCTTCGCTTTGATCATGGGAGAATTTTATCTACACAATGCACATGGAAAATTTTTTACTGAAAAACTCCATCCGTAAATAAATACGTTCGAAATACGACAAACATTCGTTTTTCAAGTCATTAATCATCGCGCTTTGATCAATTCATACCGGGTAGAACGGGTTAGTGTTCACACTAACCCAAACCCGAAATGAGATAGTTCGGCACCACCTCCATCAGAAGTCATTCGAAACAGCAATTTTTTTACTCGCGCAATTGCTGAACAATCTCCAAGCTCATCTGCCATCCCCCCCCTCGCAATCGCCCTCGCCTTTCACAGTTACCCCCAAAATTTCATTAAAGTTGATTCATCAGCGATAATAATCACATTTCTCCATCGCCCACTCTAGTCAGATGGAACATAATCAAACTTACCGCATTACAGGTACGTGGCAAGTTGTTGGATCCAAAATCTCGTTCGGTTAGACTGTCTAAACTAGCGTCCGACACTCGATATCTCATTTGCGTGCTTGGCTTAGGCAGTTGGGGCACACCAATCCCTGAGGATATTAACACTTGGCAATGGAATGCCTCTCACGATGATGTGATTGAGAGTACGGTACCACCGGTGATGGTTAACTCACCAATGAGCAGATGCACCGAAGTGAGAACATTGGATGCACCTGAGTCAGTTATTGGTGATGGAGTACCACCAGACAGAGGTGGTCTAGCAAGCATACTAACACGAAGACTGGGTCTCATTGTTGGTAGTTGCATGGGTTTTGTTGTTTTTATCGTTCTAGTTTCAGTTCTCGGTTACATGAAGATGAAGAAGCAAAGAGCCGCGATGAAAAGGGAACAGCCACTAGCACCAAATCCACCCGAATTTATGACGTATCGTCATTATTCACTGCAGAGTGGTGATAGACTTGAAAATTCATGTCCAAGCTTCATCACCAATATTGGCACAACCACCCTGAACTCGTAGCACAAAGCAACAGCACCATCTGCTGTTGCATCGGTCGAGAACATTGACATTGAGATGAAGAGTGTATCGAATTGTTCTGGTATATTTGGGTAATATCGAGATATTATTGATCCTGTTTCTGACCTTACGTCATCAGCATTGAATTGCCAACAATAATCCTTTCACAGACATACGTCAATTCCAGTAACACGTGTTATATCACCGTAATACGACTCACGACAGCGTAACCCACTGTGTGTGTTTGAATGCTACTGTGCCAATACAATTACTACTGTAATCCATTTTCGATGTGAATGAATCCTACATTTTTTTTCTAACAATGAATGAGCGTATTTCGAGCAACGATGCGACGACCTCTTAATCCTTGTATCTCTCGCGTTAAGACTGATTTTTTATCGATACCACTGTATGTATCATTTTGTCAATTGTGTTTTTCATTGAATTTTTATGGTTAATAGATTTTTGTAGTTTAAAACGACGTTGGTGTGTTATGAAACAAATAAAAGTAATATTTTGTAAATAATAAGTTTAACGAAGAATCTAGTGATTAAGGTAATTTAATGAATCTTCGAACGTATGGTTAAGATGCCAACATAGTACTAATCATTGGATACGATATTAGGTGATTGATTACTTGAGAGTGAGTAATTGATTAGTGTCGTTTTGTATGTCGACTTCAGAGTCAAAGTGTGATTCCTGCCAAATGAAAAAAAAAACGAGATGATTTCGATAGTTAACGTTTTGGCATAGTATGCCACTGTTTTATGTACACAAATTCGATGTGATGCCAAACAATTATTGTATATAGAACCAAAAATAAAAGTGATAATGGGGTGAATGGATGGGGATATTAATATTATGTACACTTGCATAGGGCAACAATTGTATATTGAAGATAAAGAAAATCTTAGAATTTCATCTAATAAAAAGTCTTCGAGGTAATCAAAGGTTTAAATATTGACTTTCATTATTTCCAGTCCTCATATTATTTGTTCATGCGCAATTAATCCAGGAATATATCACGAACGAGATTTCATCAAATATTTATAAAGGTAGGTTATTTCATGGAACCTTAAATTAGTATTTGCTGAAGTCTGGGAATTTCTGGTGTTTTCATACAGTGGAGCAGGTGCGTATAGATTGCAGTAATGGGCATTGCAGTAATGGGTTCAAAATAATCAGCCGTGACGTAATTGGCAAAATTCAAGTTATTCAACTTTTTTTTCGAAAATTCGTTATTTCGAGCATCTAAAGATTGGAAAAAATAAAAAAATAAACATTCTTATAGGTGGTGAAAAATGAAAAATTTTGCCCCCTAATAAATCGAAATCGGATGAGTAGAACTCGAGTTATCGTAAAAAACGGAACAATTTGAATTAAATCATATTTCCGAACTGGGCTGTCAAAAAAATCTGAAAAAATTTGAGAGATAGTTTTTCAAGCCCCGTAGAAAAAATCGCCATCAATTTTCAAGAGGATGAGGGTTAGCCGTTGACTCATTTGGCATGGAATACCTTATATAGAATCAAAAACAAAAGTGATAATGGGGTGGATGGATGGGGAAATTAATATTATGTACACTTGCATAGGGCAGCAATTGTATATTGAAGATAAAGAAAATCTTAGAGTTTCATCTAATAAAAAGTCTTCGAAGTAATCAAAAGTTTGAATATTGAGTGTCATTATTTCCAATCCTTATATTATTTATTCACGTGGAACTAATGCAGGAATACTTCACCAGATCTTCTCGTCAACATTACTAAGAACGAAATTTCATCAAATATTCCAATTCCCTTCAGTTTCTATCAATGGATATTCTGATATTCTTCGACTAAATCACATCAATCCTCGGAATATTTGGCCAGACTCAGTCGTCCATACGACAGACAATATCACTGATATTGGCCAGCGTACAGGTACAGGATTCCACCTAATATTTATAGAGGTAGGTTATTTGATGGAATCGCAAATTAGTATTTGCTGAACTACCTGAGAGTTTCTGATATCTTAAGACAGTGGAGCAGGTACGTATAAATCGAAATAATGAAAGATGAATTGGGTTATCTATTTTTTATAGACAAAGAAATCCATAACGCATATAACGTGCGAAGTTTCCCATTCAAAGGCAGATTTTTAAAACGAATATTGCTCATTCAACCTCATTAATTTATTCAAACAAAAAATTAAATTACCAAAAGGCTATTTCAAGCGCAAAACACGACATACACATTCATACACATATACATTCATACATACATACAAACATACGTAATCGAATAATGGCATATTCGAACTTTTTAGACCATATTCAATTACCCAAACCCAAAAAATTGGAAACTTAAATTTAAGCAATTGCAAAGTTTCCATTTAGAAGCAAAAATTAAGCTTTTAATTTCCTTTAATTTATTTATGGCGGGGTGGCAATGTAGGAGGTGATGCGAAGGAGAATCTATTGTTCTCTGGCAGAAAACCAATCGCTGTACAAAAAAAAACGATATTTCAATTACAAATTTTCAATCTATTTCGACCATTTTTGTGTTCAAAATATTTTTTCAATAACTTTTCTATTTTTTTTTACATATTTCAGGCCTTCTTTGATTTTTCCAGCTTGTCTTTTGGATAATTGGAAAATAATTAATATGGACAAAAAAAGTGACAACGTCGTGCCGTTCGAGGTATAAGTTGGCAGCACTGATTCACTCAGCTGATATGTTCCTTCCCGTAGCGGAATATATCAGTAGCGAAGTGGTAAAGCGGTTTAAGTCGACTTATCACTTGGTTGAGTTTTTGAGGAATATCTCTAAATCCAAAGGAGGTAACAAAATTTTTGTAATAACCTTTTTTCTAGAGCATATTGAGTGCTACAAAAAAGGTCTTGACAAAAATGTAGATATCTTCCTTAGATTCCGAGATATTCACTGAAAACTGGCCCATAGTCAAAATCGACTTAAACCGTTTTGCCACTTTGTTACTGATATCATCAAAACTCCATTCGTATTTGGCGCGCTTACCCCTCCACAATTTCTAACCTCGACGTTGTCGCTATTCCAAGTTGACGCAGAATTCCTATTTTCATGAGTTTTTAATCATCCCTTCCAAACAATTCTCCCAAGCCACTTAGATTTTTTTTTCATGTTCTTCCATGAAAGGTCCACCCAAGTGCAAAATTTCAGGAAAATGGCGACTGTTTTTCTATTTTTAATATATTTTTTTCCGAATTTCCATAAGAACCCGTGTTAAAATGCATTTTTTCGAAAAATTCCTGTGTTTCACCCATTCTCCTAGGCTATCTGCAATTTTGCATAGGGATTTTGAAAAAATCAAAGAATGTCTTTAAAAACAAAACAATTTCTCGACTTTTTTCGCCTTTCCCTGACTACGCCATAAATACCTTAAAGAATATTCCCATACTAGATTGTTATTTCTCCCGATACTCGATAAATTCCTAACGATACCAGCAATTGAAGCTGAATTTTCACTCGACTGAGTCCAAAATTACAAATGCCACGTTAATTTACACAAACAAAATTCAACTTTTCCCCGGAATCCAACAGCCTGTGATTATATTTACGACCAGTTACCAAGACAATTACACCCGCATTTACTCGGCTAAACCGACGAGTACGTACAATTAATTAATTACAGCGACGAAATGCCACGGTCGACTTGCCTCGCCTACCAAGCAACTATTCGCCTCGGTGTAATTAACTCTGGGAGTTTAGTACCATTCATCTGCCAATCAATATGGCCCGTGTCTACTCGAGAATGCAATACAACATTATTGGTTACCACTGCAACCGCATTACCAATGCGTTTAAACGCATTTGTGGAAAAATTGTATTTCACTGCTTCAACGTGGCAAATTATGGAATCATTAACATCGTGAAATTTGAGCCACAGCGGTTGATTCGTTAACCGCGTCTCGGTGGAGTGCATGTGCAGTATCAAGCAATGCAATTAGTGCTATTATTCTCAGTTCTAATACATCAAGGTCGTTACAGTGAATACCACAAATGAACCACTCCGGATTAGCGAAAACGCACAAATTCCGTTGCAAAACAATATTCCGGTCTAATTGGTACAGCTGGATGGGTGATGGGCTGGAGTTGTGCGATTTGGGATTTGTGCGATGGGAATTTGAGGTGCACGAGGCAAGATGCATCAGGATGCATCTCCACCATGACTGTTCGGAATTTCACGGTGAAACAGGCTTTTTCGTACCACTGTAATAATTTTACACGGAAAAAAAAGTTGGAGAAAAATTACCGAACGAGTCACGTAATCGGGAAGCGAACTCAATTTTCAGTGTAGCTGGTGCATGTACCGTCCACCTAAGGGAAATGAGTTTTTTTTCCAGCCCCGTACTCTACAAGGAGTCATAAATGGTTGGAATGGGTTCTTCGAGGTGTTTACTCGAAGATGTGAAGAGGACAGATTTTTTTATTAACATTAAACATATTTAATTATGTAATTCAATTCCCATTGGCCAGTGAGCGATGGAATCGAACTTTGAAAGTAATACCGCCCGGCATGCGTCCAATACCGCCCACATTGTTTTGATGACTTTTTTGAGAAATGCAACCAACTGTTATAATTTTTCCTACATTCATCCTTCGTTTCCGTTCTTTGGCTCCATTTTGAGAGAAATTTCACATGAATAACAATAAATTATCCTGAATTTAACTGATGTTCCTGTGGCCACCGACTAGCTCAAACAATCGAGGTCTCACTCGACCGCCCTCTAGCTGCAGAGTCTAGCAGCCCTATAGAAACCCTGGGCGGCATTACCCACAAACTCTGGGCGGAATTACCCACAAACGCGGAGGCTGAGAAAATACCCAATAATAACTGATGAATATATTTTTCTCCTATCGAAAAGGTCGCAATGGATGTGGAAATGTATAACGAACATATATTTCGCACTCCATTCAATTATGGATAAACTGAAAATTTAAAAAATCTTAAATTCTGGGGTCGAAATATGTTAAAAATGCGGTACGAAATGATTCAGATTTTTTTAAACTATATTTCCACGGGAGAAAATTGAAAATTTCTGCTGAAATTACTTTTTATCAGATATTTGCATAATAGAAAAAGAAAAACATTTTTTTCTCAGCCAGTCCTGAGAAATACGGGTGAAAGGTGCTTCGCACTTGTGATTTTTGACGCTGAAAAACTTGACGAGTTTATTTGTGGGCAGAAAACCTTGAGGGAAATACCACGAAAATTGTAAAATTAATAACATAATCTTTTTTTTTTAAATACTGAATCGAATTCAATGTCGGGCCTGAAAAGCGAATCAAAATTGAATTTCGTTTTTTAATAGTGAAGAATTCGTGAGTGAAAATATTGAAATAAAAAAGTTTTTAGTATATCCTCTTATGGACTCAACACCATTGCACCATTGTATGTCCATGACGTACGACTCTATTGCAGAAAAAAAACCTACACTTCAGTGTATATTTCTTAGACAGTTTTCTCCACTTTTTCTCTTTTTTTACTTACGAAACTTTTACAACGCTCACTTCTTTTATTTTCTTGTCATTTTTATGGTACGACACTTTGACATGTCTTTACATTCGATCCCCCGTGCAGTTATTGTGGAAAAGAACCTTGTTATAGAAAGAAAGGTAATTGAATAAAACAAAGCGGAAGAGTAAACAGCAGAAACTTTTATACATTTTTAGCTACTGAATTCTGTCAGTTCCATGTTTTCATTCTGAATTTGCCGCGAGTAATTATGTTGTTTCCGACAGTTACAGTGGTGAGATAATATATTTTTTAGAATATTGGAAAATAGCGGATTGAGAGCGTGACTTTTCTTCTCTCAGGCGGAGAAAAAAAATGCTTCAGTCCATGGAGAAAAAAGTTGAAGAAAAATTATCGAAAAAGTCAAGTAATTGCGGAGTGAACTCGGTTTTTAGTACTTTTTCAGTCTATATCAGGGAGATGAAT